GTCGGGGTATCTATTTTCGCGCAACACATACTGCATAAACGTCAGTTCCGCATTTAGAATATCTTCCGAACAGATTCGACGCGCTCTCGTGGTAAGACAATGAATCAAGTTGCGCTTATATCTCAGAGGGACGAAGCTGTGGAAATTCGTATACTGGCCAATCCACGTTGGCTTTCTGTAGACCTGCCGTTGGATTGAGCCGTCTGGTCTCCTAGTTAACAGAACATCAAGATACGGCAGCTGAGCTTCGGTTTCTTTTTCATAAGTAAAATGCAGTGCTGCATGGGCTCGGTTAAAACGGTTAAGAATTTCATCTAGGTTAACGTGCTCATCCACCACAACGAATATATCGTCCATGTACCGATAGTAGTGATTAAAAGTGACTATATCCGCCTGCAATTTTGTTCTCTCCAACTTGGCCATGAAGACATCCGCCAGCAGTGGACCCAGGGGAGATCCCATGGCCACGCCGTCCTTCTGCCGGTAGTATTTGCCGTTAAATAGGAACTGTACATTCCAGGTGCAGCGCAACAGTAGACTTTTTAGCTCACGAGTAGGTATACACATTTTTATTTTTGACTGGGTTAGATAGTCGCAAATGTAATATATTGTCTCAATCGACGGGATATTGGTAAAAAGCGAGACAACATCAAAAGAGAGCATCACTTTCCCGTCAACTTTGGCATCATTGATGTTTTCTACGAACTGGAAGCTGTCACGTAGGCTGTAAGTTGCAAGGTGCTGTCGCACCGGTTCCAGAATTTCCACAAGCCACTTAGCGACCACATAATAAGGTGAGTTGACCATTGACAAAATGGGACTGAGCGAATGTTAGCTTTGTGAATTTTCGGTAACCCGTAAAGCCTTGGAACGTTTGTGCCACTAGGTTTGAGGCTGTCCTACAGGATATCTGAAATATACCCCTTAGTCCGAAGTTCTTGCAAGCTCTTAGAGATCTGGTTTCAATTTGTCCTGTCCGATCTAGTTCCACTGTGCTGCACAATGCTTGGTCTCGTCGCTCAGTATTGTTGTTACTTTATCTATGTAGTTTCTCCGGTTTAGTATCACAATCCCCGCACCCTTGTCTGGTCTACACACATCGCGTGAATGAACATTACCCACGTTGGTTGCATCAAAGTGGCACCGAGGCCATTAGTAGTTCCATTCTGGCTCATATTGTCGACAGTGGGCATCAGGTGGATCTAAAGCGTGCCTTTAGAGTTGTATACAAGGTTCCACCGCACCGATCGAAAGGTCAACGCTTTCGTACACTTGCGACGGCCGAAGCGATTTGCATTCCATTATTTCAACCGTCTTTATGCTCGCAAAAGAAGCTAGTTCAGACTCTACAGCTTCTCTGGCCCCAGAAAACGGGGGGATACTGAAGTCAACGATATGAGGTCAAACTCCGTAACGTGTACTTAACTCGTTTCGATTTTTCGTCTATGTTACTTATACTAACTGGTCGATTTTACTCTTTCTATTTTTCAGTCCTATATATGATTGTACTGGTATGATGATGAATCACTGAAAGCAATTGTTCACCAAATGGTCTCATTATTCTTATTATGCCTCAGCTGAAGGTGAGAAACACACTTAAGCTAACTGTGCCACAATGAAAAGGGATATATGAGAAAGCAAAATACTAAACAGTACATGTTGCCAAACTAAAAAAGGGAGTCCTAGCAGGTCAACCGTACTATTATCCATGTAGTGTGAGATCGCTCTTAAGTGGGAAGCTAAGCCGGAAGGGAAGGTGGGTAAAGAAACTAACAACACAAACGCTGCTGAAGTTGGCTCTTCTCCATGACAACTAGTGTATCCAACCAGACATGTTCATTTTCTTTATGACCACAACCTGGCAATCAGGGGACACCAATGGATTCCATATTCGAAGTGAGGGCCTTCATTCCTCTTAACCAAGTCATCGCTTGGTCTCTCCTTCTCCGGCGCGCAAACAATGCACTTCGCGGGAATCGGTGTGCTGGTATGCGGAACACGTGGCTCAGCCATCGGAACCTAGTGCGTGATATAACTGTAATGAGCGGTTCACTGCTCTTCCTGCACTAAACACACGACGCCCAACAAGCTCATTGCTCACGCGGTGTTCCCACTAGACATGGGCTGTGTTGCGAGGACTGCGATGGTCGAATGTAACTATCCTCTTTAAATCTGTCGACCGGGTAGGTCAGGTTTCGCAACCGTACATTGGGGGTTGAACGGACGGCCGCATTGTAAATTCTGCTCTCCAGGGCGAGAGTGATGTCCCGTCTGCGCCACAGGTGGCGGAGATTGGCACAACTACTTCGGGCTTTTCTATTCCACCGGCGCTAATATAGCTATCACTTTCTCTTTAAAGCAAGTGCAACTGACCACGGATACCTTTGAAAGCAGGTTCGCGTGTTCTGTAATCAATGGGGTTCGCACTAATGTACTCCAGGCACATGCGCTAAATCTGATGGTTAGGTCGCTGATTGCTTAGTTCCGCTGACATGTAATCTGCGCAGGTAGCTGCAGAGTGGATTTAGCTCCAATGAGGTTAAATGATGACTCAGTTCATGGGGTGAGGTAGATATTAGCAAGCAAATTGAGACCACGAAGCTTAGGCCTCAGTAGCTGAACGGATAAGCTTGTGGTCGATTCCCTGCACAACTGAGTCGGCGACGATGATACCGCCATAAAGCCGTCAGCAGTACACCAGTTAGTTTGTAACGATTTGTTGTGTTGCCCCCAACTGCTACAAACTACGTCGGGAATGAGAGCACTAAGACTAGTAGAGACAAATTTCTTTACGTCAGGATATGACACTGTTAAATAACAAACAAGAGGCAGTAAAAGCCAACCAAGGCACTGAACATATCGGACTGAGTGAGCCAGTAAGATAGCAGTCGCACGAAACACCGATCAAACGCACTCAACGAGGGATACTTGAAAGTATCGACCTCAGGGGTGAAACTGCGGTAAGCCACCAGAAACAACAACTTAAATCAATAAGTCTGTCAAAATGATGCGTTGAAGCAAACGTCAATAGATGCACACAACAAAAGGGAAAGCTTGCAGTTACGACTTGCCACACAAAAAGCATCCCAATTAGGTGCTTCCCCTAACATGATGTTTCGCTACTATGCGGCCCCAGGCGATCGTTCATGTTAGATCTTCGAAGTTTCTTGCTGTTCCGAATTAAACACACAAAATTCGCTGGAAGAGTTCTAACCCAGCCGAAGAAAAAACAGAAGTTCAACGACCTTGACCGAGAGAAAGATGTTAACCAAACGCCGCCAAGACGCTGTACAAATGCCCCAGACCTTCGTCAAATTTATAGGTCTATTAATGCGTTCTGATTCTAGTAAAAGAGGATCAACTGGTGAAATTAGTGGCTTCCTTGCCAAAACTCCTTATGTTGGAAGTTATGTGAAGGAATAGGAGGTACCAGAATCTTCCAAATCAATGTGCAATCAAAGTTAATCGATTACTTACTGAAATAACGGGTTTTCCTAATGATTTTACCTTATACCGGATAGCTCATGAGTTAGGAGACTGCAGTGGTGCCCAAACACATACAGGAGCTGGGGACTCGACTCCGTGACTCGATTGCAAACCAAACTTCTGTACCCATACACCATAGTTGCACACTCCATGAACATTCTCCCACCATCCTAAATCATCTTGCTTCATTTGTTTCCTCGCTAGCTAATGCACACATAACCGTGTCGGGTCGTGTGGTTTATCTTTTCCTGTCCTACGTATAGTTTTCATTACTTTTGCTTCACTTAGAGCGACTATTTTGCTGCGTCTGGGCATCGCCCTGTACTACTACTGGATGAATGAACGAATGAAACGTGCGTTCCAAGGGGACGTAGACTATATGTGGCTCCATCTACACTCAGACATGCATGACTTAATCTCGACTACCACTGCAGTGCAAGTCTAATTTTTAACTTTATCCATGTCTCGCAGCTCAATTGCCTGACGATGGTTGATGCCATATGACCACCAGAGAATTTTTATCCATGATCGAAACACAATAGACAGTGTGGTTCTGATACTGACTAGTCAGCGTCTAGAATTTTCACTTAGGATTCAACTTTTTCCAGTAATCAAACAGGTAAGCTAATAAACAGTAAACTGTGGCTGTGACACAGTAGTATTGATCCCAAAATTAACAAACTTCGGCGGAAACGAATTCATAACTCCAGGTCGTATGTTCTCTATGAAAATTCTGCTGAGTTTGGAGATGTGGATCTACTTTATAGCCACACTAGCTATCGTAGTCGCTACTATATGATCTTCCTAAAGAGTAATTGCGTTGCATCTGAGTTGCGAAGCTGGTTAGAACAAAATGCGCGTCGATCTTCAGACGATAATTCCGTAGGCCTTGAAAAACGTATCCGCACGCTTCGCAATGCTCCGCAGCCTAATGGATTCAGCCGGAATGACTTAAACCGAGATGTGCCCCGAAATGATTGGGATATGTCAACTGGATTGTTCCTGGTTTCATCTTCTCATGCCTATGTTGTCTGTATGTGTGAAGACGGAAGTTTGACTGCATGTTCATAGCAAATAAATGAATATTCCAGTTCCTTGTAATCTTAGTATCTGTTAGTTGGAATGTTCGGTTTATCCAAGGTCCCTTGAGAAGAACGTCCTACTTGTCAGAGTGAGGACAAAATATTGCTTACTGCAAGCACTAGTCCACAAGTAAGACCTTGGAAAATTTCAGTTTTTTTCGCTCATTTTTGATCGACGTTTGTCAGAGTACAGTTTTGATGTGAAGTTATGGAAACTGTAGGATCGGATCCATCCTCGAGTCATCACTCGTGTTATTTACTGATGTCACAGTAGCCGACCCAGATAGCTGTGGGTCACGTGGGTTTGCATCACGCGTTGGCATTTAAAACCTGACCCCGATCAATGGATGGGGACCAAAAGTACTCATGCTCTTTCCAAGCTAGCTATGTGAATGGTTCCACCGCTTGTATCGGTGACCCACTAGATAAGGGATGGCAGAGCAGAGTTCCGCAGTCCAACCTGATCGACGTAGCCAGTCACCAACGTTCGATCACAACTTTCATGGTCCAAATCCCATCACAGGATGGTGTTCACCACCACGAATTGGAAACCACGTCAAAGGTATCCGCACGCGCGCCTCATTGGATAATACACCTGACCAAAGTGAGCCGAGGGGGGTGATAACGGGATCCGCGACTGCCAACCGACAAACTACTACAGACAAGGCATCACAGCCCCCTATGCAGGAAACCTTTCGTATGTCCCTATATGAGCGTAAAATTCAGATCGAAAGCACTGGACAGATGGCAGGGGACAAAGTGCGTTGTCAATCGCAGTGCTCCAGTACAATGGGTCGAAAACCAAGCCCACCGAGTCAGAGTACCATTTGCGCGTCTTGGCAAAACCGGTTATACGGAGTGGGTCATCCAGAAGTTGAAACTGATATGAAATGCCAATGTTGGGGAAGACCAGCTGAAGCAAAGTTCCGGACATTTTGCAACGGCTCAGAGGTTATATGTTTTGAGATTCCACGACCCGAAACACAATTCCGTCCGTGCACTGGTGCAGGCTTCCAGAGTTTTCCCTCTTTCCCAACCAACCGACAACATAGTTCAACTCTACCAGAATGTGTGCCACTGCAAGGATACAATGTTACGGACAAACGCTTTGATACCTTCCTGATGAAACCGTATCTTTGCTCTATGCCGACTAAGCCCTCCAAAGAGGCTGCTCTACCTCATCCTTTTCACAGAACGGATTCCGAACCATCTATTTGTAATTTAAAAGCCAAACCCCCGATTCCATTTCGTTCTCAAAGTTTACCAATGCGTGGTCCCGTTTGTTTTACCGAACCCAGATGTCCATACGCCGTGACGCATATATACCAACCTCCTGTGGTTTCAGCAGGGAATGAGACAGAACAAAAAGGAGAGCAATGTGGCCACTATGAAACCTTCTATCACTACAACTCTGACTCAGAGGTATATTTTCCCCGGACTACGGGAGCTGGTATGGTGCGTCGTTTCACCTGGGAAGGTAATAAGAGCATGAAAATCAGTTCTTCAAGGGCACAACGAGAGCTTTTACGAAGTATATCACCAGATCCACCGAAGAAAAACAAGCACAGTTCACGTGCAGTCGCATCCCCTTCACGACTTCCCAAGAAAAATTACGCAAGCGCACTGAGTCCACAGCCAAGAGGGGCACCCGAAACATTTCCTGATCAAAGCAGACCGGCCCAACCCATCGTACGTGTCACAGACCAAGTACCCCCGCCAAGACCTGGCTTATCACATTCACGCACTGTGAGCAGCAAAACAAGCGAACGCCTGGCACGTCCAGTCCCACTCGGACTGCCGTCTGATAGCGACAACACATTAACAAAAAGCGAGCCTGCGACCAAACCAATCTCGTGGGCGACGCATTTACCTAACTTCCCTAATACGGATGTCCCTAGGTCTACACATAGCCCAGCGCCGGAGTACAGTGAAAAACAAAGTAGTCTGCGGAAATCTCCCAAAGCTGCCACAGCGGTACGCGCCATAGAAACTATTGGTAAAGCCGTCACTCGCGCACCACATACAAAGGAAAGAAAACCACTTCCGGTTCTTTCCCAAGCTCCTGCCGATTCCTCTGTAACAGCTTCTCGGAGCGAATATATTGAGTTGCCTTTACAGGCCATTGCAGCAGTTCTCAGCGCGCAGCCCTTGTATCACTGGGGTTCACTGGTACTACCGCATACTCACCGAGGCCCAAGAATTCGTCTTCCACCAGAAGAGATACGTGCCCAGCGCACTGAGAGCACTCATAGCCACACAAATGAATTTTCATCTCGGTCTCCGTCAACACTGACGAGCTCAACCCCCGAACCGAACCGAGACCCCCCATCGAAAGATAACATCGACAAGTCCTTCACTCGCACGCCACCAAGTGCTGAACGCACACAGTCGAGCCCAGAGTCACCCGATGCTCCACAAGAAGCGGAACTTCACTATCTGCACGTTGAGCCATCAAAACAGACGCCTATAATGAACACTCCCTTAAGCATCACGACCCATCCGAAGCAACTGCCATACGCGTCACCACAGTTGTCAATAAGTGATAGTTCCATGATTGATTGGGTACCAACATCAACCGATGATATCAGCGGCTCATCAACTAACATATCCGCGAACAGTGAAGAAAAATGGTCAAGCCATACGGTACCTGTTACTTCGGTACGACCAAAGTCGATTCATTCGTCCACCGAGTCACATCAACCAGCATCACAAGTGAGCGGCTCTCGAGTTGTGCCGATCGACATGAAAAAACCATCCACTTTACATGATGCGATGGTAACTGAGCCACCTGAAGTCGATCGTCTGTCCACGCCTGGGGACAACGCATTCAGCTCATCCAAAAGCACCTCACCATACAGTGGATCAATACGACTGAGTCCCTTATCATCCACCACGCTAAGCGGATCAGAAATAGTCCAACAGCCGGTTACACTCCTCAAGTTATCACCCTCAGGAGGCACTCCCCAAGACAGTTCGATCCAATTGAGACAGCAGCCATACGCATCGCCCCAGCGGTCAAAAGTGACAACCCCTGTGGTAGCCCAGGAGCCTATACCAATAGAGGACGCTGGTAGCTCTCACACTAATCATGAGAATTTGTCAGAAAGTACCATCATAAGCAAAGATGGCTCGCCTAGTCCTAAAGAGTCCGGCTTCTATTCCCACTCTGAAGCGACAACGCCATCAAACACTACACCCATCCCCACCCCATCTGCTGGTCGCAATAAACGGTACTCGCCTCATCACGTACCCACCTGCCGTTGGTCAGTTGAAGAAGAAGAGGCCTTGCCCTCTGGCTATCCGGGGCTACCTTCAGCCGACCAACACCGAACATACGGAACTAGTTTCCCGCTGCTGGCTAGCATGGAATCCATTTCAAGGAATAAATCAATAACCCGAAAAATGGCTCCGACTGCTCCCGAAGTACCCAAATTGACACCTAATCACACCCCTCAGACATTGCCTAAGCCCCCTATTTCAGGACCAGCTACCTGTGTTTCCAGATCAAGATTAGTTGCAGGGAAGCTTCCGGCTTATGGGATAATAGGTCCAATAAAGGTACCTTCATTGGTCACGGAATCGCCAATGAAATTATTAAGTGTTCAATCACCACCTCTTTTGTCAGTGAAGGAAAGTAGCCCATCATCTTTCAGCCGATCAAGTGCTAAATTGAAGTTCGCAGAAGGAATGCAGCCTCCCCTCACTATTCTGGGCCGAATCTCATCAAGTCCACTGAAAGTATCCGAAACCACATTCTCGGGAAACATGGTCTCTGTTGAGGACAACCTAATCCAGAACGCCGATACCCTCTCATCAAGCAGCACAAGTCCACGCTCAAGTAGCCAGCCAACGTTTAATACTTTTCTCTTACCTGCTCATAAGGACATAATCACGACGGAACCTTCGCCAGAATACGTGCAAGAAAAACTAACGGAGTTACAATCATTGGAATCTACTCATTCTTGGCCATCCGAGACACCGTCAAGGACCCCATCACTCAGACACAGTAAGGGTTCCGAACCCGAAGCATCGTCCAGAAAAGAACCCGAAGAGAGGTTGGCTTCTACAAAAAAACCCACCGCTGACTTAGTCGGCACCAGCCTTCCTCATAGCTTAATTTCAACATCGACACGAACTTTGACAAAGAAAACTGGGCCTTGTCAGTTGCTCATTCAGCCTCTTGAAGAAGAAGATGAGTCGTTTCTGAATTATCCCGGTGTTCCATCTGTCGATGCGCATAGGTTGCATGGAGCCAGTGCACTCGCCCACCCCGACTTAATGGCACAATCCGTAGAGACACACAAAGTGCGGGCGCTAAAACCACCCGATGTGCATGAGTCCCCAGGACCCGTGCGGAAGTCCAGAAGCGGTGACCACAGAAAAGTGAGTGGGGGAGGGAAGATAAATGAGAAATCCACAGTAAATTCCACTTCAGATCGCAACAGAAACCGTCCTTTTCAATCAACGCATCACTCGAAATTTAATCGACCGGAAACTGAGTATGGTGGCGTGCGTTCCGAAAGAAACGAATCATATCAGCCAATTACGAGTAAATTGCCCCCGCTGGAAACAACAAATGGAGCAGACCCCGTTCACGTCAGTCGGAAATTGGAATTTCGACATTCAGAGGAAGAAAAACGACTCCTTCACACGAAATCAAGGGAGCTTACACCCGTCGCGTCTACCGGAAATATCGCTGTAGAACCGACTTTCATCAATACACCAAAGGAACCAGCTAGAACAGTCGACTTGCTTCGGCTAACATCGGAGACACAAGCATCCAAACGTTCGTTGCTCAAGGATACTTCTAAACAAGAGGGACCACAAAAGTTGCACCCACCTTTGCATCAACTTCCATCGCTATCACTCACTGAACACTTGTCCGATAGAGTGAGTGGGAACATTGGATCTTCCAAAGTAAACAAAAGAAGAGAACAGAGCCGCAGTGAAGGAGATAAGCCAAATCAAAGGGCGCGCTCTGGTACCACTGAAGGAGTGTCCTCGCTGAAGTCTATGCAGCGTAGCTCTTCTTCGTCCATGGACCGTCCGTCTTCTGACGCTGGACCTTCCGGATACCCAGCTGGTTCAATAAAGGAGAAGATCGCACGTTGCTTTTCGTTTCGTCGAGAGCGCGCCCCCACAACTGGAATCGCTGCTCATGAGTTGTTTGCAACCACTATAACTCACACTACTCCACGGTCGAGTGTTCGCAGCAGCCTCGGTGGAACTTCCAAAGCACTTTCCATATATGACGCAACACAAAAACCTCTAAATGCTGATTCTGAAGAATTGAAGAGAAGTGGTCGCCGTTCCTCAAATTGGAAATCTCTAGAGTTAACATTACCGGAAAAAAACCGTTTGCGCCCTTCAGTCGTGCAAAATACGGACTCCATTCATCGGATGGTGAAATCTAAACCAAACATAATCCACTCGATTGCATCGTCAGAGGTGGTTGATGACAGCAACGAATGGGTCTATCGGGAAACATCAGCACAAAAATCGCTCGACACGGGCACTGATGAAGACCTTTTAGTTTCGGAGACATTGCGATTGAGTAAAGCTTCAGTGGGCACCACTGCATCCCAGTCTGCACCCCGCGTCCGCAGTTCACACACACTGAGGAAATCCTCAAAGTTTGGAAAGGCCCAATCAGTAACACGGGCTATTCGAAAACGGTCATTTGATTCGAATGAATCGCATGCGTCTATTATAGGGAGTAAGCGTACAGTATCAGTTCGATCTCCGACTTCCGTTTCAATAAGAGTTTTGGATTCAAACGCAACCGATGATTTGTTGTCGGATAAGCTGTTGTTAACCGATGCTGTAACATCGGGTTCGGTACAGTCGTCCCCCGACTTCGTCCCCGATTGGGATGACAGTTTGCTGTCAAGCGATCTGTCCGTTGAGCACGACTCAGTGAGGGTAATCAAAAGAAGATCGTACGGCCCTGGATGGTGCGTCGACTTGGCCCGAAGACTATTTCCGTCAATGGATGCAATCACAATTGGTGGAACTCGTATCCAATCCTCGTTGAACTCAGGTCAAACTCACGAGTTTCTATCCGCATCTCGTAGATTCACTTTGGGTATTCAAAATGAGCTGGTTCCATCCTCTTCGATATCTATAGGAGTCCAAGGGATCCAACCAAGACCAATAGCTGATCATCCGTATGATACAGTGAACACAGAAGCGACAACTAACATGCAATTTGTTCGGGCCTATTCTACTTCGACGTTGGATGAGTTAACTGAACTGGATTCTGGGCCGAGGCGTAGTGTTTCACACAAGGGCGAACTTATTTCCCCAGTGACTTCATTGCAAGCTTCTGTCAGGCCACGCTCGCAGAGGGAATTCCGCTCATCACTTGGAGATGAAGTATTTAAATATCCCCAACAAGAATGTGGTAGAAAATCCACTGTAGAACATATTGCTGGATCGATACAAACAATATATTCGACTCAGAGGCAGTACACTCTCAGTGACAATTACACGCTGCCCTTGTCAACCCCAAGTTCGATCCAGCCTCTGGAGCAAAATTTTCGAACGACAGCATTGGGGCTCGCTCGAACATCTGCGAGACAGCTTTGTTCTAGGAAGGTAGGTTCAAATTTCTTAGAGCAGCATAGGGTGACTCAAAACAAAGCACAACCATCCTCAATGGAAGGACGGCTCTCTCCAAAACCGAGAACCTCGTACAATGAGGTTATTTCAAATGCTCAACACTTTGACATCGTAGCAGATCAAGCATGCAGAGGCGAGTCTTTCGATAAGACAGTGCCGCCATTGTTTAAAGACGCTGCCGCAACCCAAACAAGTCAACCACCCTTGACGGAGGAGGAGCAGACGGGTGACACATGCACATGTGGCGCATGCTGTGCCGAACTACAGCAAGATGTAATTATCGTTACCTCCAATCCATGTTGCACCTGTGACTTGCCGAGAGGACATGGAGCATTTGCTTGCCCTGAACGCGCGCCCTCTACCTTGCGATCACAATATCATCCGTATTGCCACCATCAAGTGCCACAGTGGACTGTTGGGACTCCACTGGGTAGTGTTCAAACACCGCGTTCAGTGAATGTTCCCTTGGTCACCACAGTTGTAATTGATGGCTCCGGGATGTATTGCCTGCACGAAACACCGGATGATGTGGTGTATGACCGTTCAGGAAGCAATACTGGTGCAGAAATAGTACAATCGCATCCAACTGTGTCACCCAGCATTCCGAATGTAAATCGATACGATAAAGTTGATGAACTCCAAGTGGGTGACATCGAAGCCAACTATCTTCAAAGAGAAGCAGAGAAGACTACGGATGCAGCGAAAATGAAGGGTATTCGCGATATACTTGGGAAGTATGTTGGCCACAGGAGAACCAGCTCGGGGAACAGCGTAGAGGTTAGCGAAAGCTGGTGTGAAGGAGTAACACCTCTTGCGGATATTAAGAGGCTACAAAAATGTGATGGCAACTGTAGCAATGTTTTTGACAAACGCACCTCCGCAGAATTTTCTGGCTGGGTATCCCAGGTGCCAAATTTGCCTGCAATCAACCAATGCTCCAGTGCCGCGGTGAATTGCGATGTATCCACGGTGTATTATTGCCAGCCAACCCCATTCGAAAAGGAAGGGCTCGACGAGCATACAGCTTCATTGTCAGGTGCAGTAAAGAAAAGAAATTGGAACAGGGACATATGCCATTCCAGATGCCACTCGATACTGGACTATTCCGTGGAAACAATGAATTCATCACCTAGATTGAAGCTGAGAACATATGTTCGACCTTGTGGAATCAAATCGCGAAATTATGCGGCAATGCGAAGTCAACTGAGGCGTAGCGTATCTAGGCTGGGCAATTCTTCCGTGACTGGATTTAGGCAGGGGGAAAGGTGCATTGACACAGGGATGAAGATATCTTCCGTTTTTCCACCTGTCACTCCAACCAAACTAAAATGTACGCAAATATTGCTACAAGGGACAAAGGCCGGCAATGTATATGAACGGTGTGTGACACCGAATAAAACTGCAGATCGACGTGCCTCGCGGAGACAGAAGTCGGTGACGAATAAATACGACGACGAGTTCCTCTGTTCGCGTGAAGACGCTTCTCGTCAAACAATTCCTTTCTGTCGTAATTTCAGTAACCCAGATCCATTAGTTAAAAGTGATCGCCGTTGTTTTCAGCGACCAAATGGTAACAACTTGTATTTTGACAAACAGGCCGTTTTCGTTCGAGGTGAACGAATAGACGTCAGTCCTACTGAAAAGTCGCCTTTGATTTCGGTTAGAACTGATCACTTCCAAGTCGATGATTCGTATAGGTCATTAGCGCCATCGGAGGAGCCGATGAAATTGACACCAAGACACAAACATTACAATCCATCCCGCCATGGAACTGTTCAAGCGCATGTGTCTAGCTCCAACAAGGTGACTCCGGAAGGTCGGAAAATACTTCACACTATTCGTGACACGATTAGGTTGCTTATGCAAGATCTCAATGCATTGGAAAGAAAGATGCTGAACCAAGACCTTCGACTGTGTGAGGCAATAAGCGAACATTTGGTGCTCATCCCACAAATGCTGACTGCTCTACTGGATCACTTGCATTACAGTCCAGCGGAGAATGAATTAATTCGGTTGGCATCAGTGATGAATACTCTCGTCACCGAAATCGCACTGGATCCAGTCATGTTATTGTTTCGCTTAATTGAATTGGGCTACAGGCTGAATGAATTGGCACAAATTTTGGGGGAGGATCTGATCCCCAGCTATCTGCCCAAAACGATTCACGCAATTCAATCGAAGCTTCACGTGAGTACCTTTGTGATGTTCTCTTGTTTGTATTGTAATTAGTACTTGTGCCCACTTAGTTACCACATCGTAAGAGGACGGTGCATGCTGTAGCTGAAAACAAAAAGTGAGCGAAATAGGGGAAAATGTGGTGTCACATCTGTACTGAGTTCCCACGGAGCGATCATTGCGAAACACTTCCAGTAGTGCCTGGGTGGCTCACGCGTTTGGCGCAAGTGCAGGCGATCTCGCGGTATTCATAGCCCGCATGCAACTGGTGGTGGTTGAGTGGCAGCAAAGCATCGGTGTCGGCCTACCGCTTATGCCTTCTTCGGAACCTATAGTTATCGCTCACGGGATTTTTCGCGGAGGTAGGTGAAACTATGTAGGCTGTAGGACTGAGAAGACGACACTCTCACGTAAACGTCTCGATCTATCGTGGTCTATATCGACCTCATCGTCATCACCAGATAGATTGATGATGATTTTAACTAACGAGAAGCAACAACATTTGTTGATGTCAGCCATGCTCTTGCTCACCGCTATTTTTCCCGTGGTTAGGCGCAGGAAACACTTCTTCATACTGGTTTGACGTCAACAGCGTAGAATGCGATGCTTGCCTATCTATGAAACTCGGTTTGCGAAATCGCGAATGGAAATCCCGATCTCAACCGCCCTTGTGAGAGCAGCAACATGGAGCATCCCTCTTGGTTCTGCCCGAATTTACTGCAGCAATCAGTTAAAGATGATGCTGGTGTAGCCAAGTGTCAGGATGCACAAATGGCGGTGATCGCTGTGCTAACGGCGAACCTGTACCATGCAAGAGCGAGAGTGAAATGGGTCCATTGTACTAAAGCGCATTAGTCCACGTATGAATACGTACCTTCAATACTAGTCTATCCACCTAAGTATACAACTTTATAATGAGCTGGCCCAATGTCGATGGTTTTTTCTTCAGAAGAGACAGCGGGTCGTACCGCATCAATACACGGTATTTAGAAATGGAGTAATTTGGTGGCTTTCTATTTTTCTGCATGGCTGGAGCAGAATCGGATAAAACCTGATAACAGAGTGCCGATGAGTAAACGCGAACAAGTATCCAGCTTGCCCAAGAGCGTCCCGCTGATTTACGTTGATGCTGCCAGTCTCCTAACTAAGTCTACCCACGGACCTAAACTAGTGAAACTAAGGATCTGATACATCAGGTAGTTGCAAGTTCAACCGAATCGCAAACTGAAAACATCCTTTGATTAGGTTGTGGACAACAAGGCTGAATCTGCTTCTGAACTATCCGGCTTTCATGCAACGGCTTCGTTACCAGAACAGGTAAGGTTATGAGTGAAAAAAGGTTGAAGCCGTGACAGTTGCCTGCTTTTGCTGACCCCCTTAGATGCGATCGACAGGTGAGAAAACTTGACACTCCAAGCCACAAGGCACACATCGATTCAAGATATGATTGTTTAGGGTTCTCCATTGATTCAGTTAGCTCGAAAGATTCGCCAAAAGGTAGCGGGAAGCAACTGATGATCCAAATAGATAAGTAGCCACATAGACCATTCAGTACCACGATCACCACCACGACGACGACGACGACAACCCCCACCATCATCACCACCACCAGCAGCAGCAGCAGCCAAAGAAAAGAACTAAAATGTACCACTCTTGGAAAACGAAACAATAATGAGGAGAAACAAAGTACATCAATACTCCAAGTTCAACTTTGAATTCGTTTCCGCTGTACCAAGCGTTGCTCGCGGATCTCAGTGGCATAGTACTTATGGCGTCAACCATGAGCCACTAGGCTCTGAGTTCCAGCCCAAATCAGGCTATCTCCACCTGATGAGTCCAAACCAGGACGAAACCGCGGTCGTGGGGTGCCAGTGTTGGGATGAGCAACAGCATAATGTTTCCATTTTACACCAATACTGTTTTGTCTTTATCACACGCCAGTTTGTACTTTATTGCCTTTGTGCTTTGGAAATCGGGAACTCACGCGAATCCGCGTGCATTGCTTCCACTGCATCCTTTTTTGCGCCATTGACTTGAGCGTTGTAAGTCATCGCCATTCTTCATCATTGGGTTCCAAACCTTGTAGACGTAATACACCAGGATGGCCACGCAAGATGTCAATCTTTTCATGCTTTTCATGCGGCTGGCCTCCACGCCGCCTCTTCCAGTGCGGCCCTGCGAGCGCAAATAGGGTGCGGCGTGGCAAACACTCATTAGGCATGCGTAGGACTAGCCCAACCTATCTCAATTGGTGTAGCAAAACAAGTCCGCAGAAGGGAGACCCATCTTACCTAAGACGCGTTGTCTGACATCATTGCGCACTAGATATTGCCGTCATCCACAGTCAATCCTCCGCAAACAGAAAGTCTACACATATTATCTAGGCGGAGCGCCCATGATTCGCATCCACACAACAGTACCGTGCGAACACTGGCATTGTAAACCCTTCCCTTTAAAAAGGGCGAAATGTCGTGACGACGCCACAAATACTTCAAGTTGGCAAAAGTCTACCGACTTTCGCGATACGAAGGGATACCTCATCTCTAATAGCGTCATCGGCAGAAACGCAGCTTCCTAGGTATACAAAACTGTCTACGTGTTTTAACTGTATGCCTTTGATGGTGAGCTGCGAAACAGGCGATTGCCAAGCATGTAAAATGATTTCACATTTGGAGGCGCAAAGCACAGACCACACATAGACGCTTCAACCACCAGTCGTCAAGGATCATGCGCATATCAAGAGAGTTGTTATCGAGCAAGACAATATCACTAGGGTGCATTAATTCGATTGCGCAATCACTTGGAAGGAGTTCGATGTTAAAACTTTGAAGCCCTTTTAAAGCTTTCAACGGGAGGTCCCCGAGCGCAAAGTTGAAGAAAAACAGAAACATAGGGCAACCGTGACATGTGAGATATAGTGCCCGAGGTATAGTGACGTGTTTTCAGGGAACTCCATTCTCTACCAGGCATCGCCATAAAGCAGATCGGTCTGTCGAGTCGAACGCCGCTCTAATGTCAAGGAAGGCGACGATACTGGGTCTGCGATGGAAATAATGATGTTCAAGGTACAGGTGAGGTGTGAATAGTTGATTCCCAAATCTTCGATCGGGGCGAAAAGCAGCCCACTCCTCCCGGTAGTGTTGCACGCTTTGGGACTAGTCTGCTCAGCATGATGGATGTTGGTACCTTGGAGGCAACCGATATCATGCTGATTTTATGATTTTGCATGGATTACGGAACTCTACTTGAAGACGGACTACCGAATCTCTTCAAGTAGGGGGCACTCTTTCTTTTCGTCATATCTTCAAGAATAGGGATGTTAGGTGGTTAACAACGGCCGCGCTACTGTACTTAGACAATTCTGGGGGAAGTTCGTCTGAGCCCGTAGCGTTAAAGCCCATTAGGTGTCGGATATCAAGAGAACCCGCTTCAGTGGGTGGTTTTGGTGACACTACACGTGATATGCGACCGGGGGTGTTGGGTGCAAAGGTAGACGGTGAGGAGCAACTGAACTGAGATTGGAAATGCTCAGCCCCTGTTCAAACGGCTCTGAAAGTTAGTGATTTGCGCCCCATTCGCCTCACAGATGAGTTCTCTGATATCAGACTTCTGTGTCCCATGCTCCAAATGAACCGGAATATCCCGCGAACATTTCCAATGAGAACGGTAGCCTCCATCCCCAAGGCACGTTGGCACCACCAAATCTTCCAATCGCCGCGAAGGCTTCGCTTGCGTTTTCGGATGATAATGCGGCGAAGTCCATTATGGTTTGAGTTTACTGAAAAAGTTCTGCGGCAGTCGTACAGTGCCAAGGAGTGCGCATAGATCCAACCCTTCGTGGTGTGACAATTTAACTCATAGACTTTTGGCCTGAATTTGACAGTGCATGCTACAAGAAGCTCTAATGATGTTTAATGTCAAGGGGCGAAACACAGGCTATATGTTTATCAGTAACAGTTGATAGTTCAGCCTAACCGACTGATCAGTTTAGCCTGTTCGTCCCGAGTCAACAATGATTCCGTTTCGGAGGCCCTCTGAATCGCGTGCATAAATTCGCGGAAATCAGTGCGTCGTCTGAATCAAGATAAGTAGACTTGAATGATCTACTCTCCTGTATGCTGCTCCACCACTTGTAACTGATTGCAATGTGGTCTAGTTGAGACCAACGCTGAGTCAGGGAAGGAGGACGCCAGTTGGTAGAGCACTTCTTGGAGAGCTTGAAATTTATGCCTGTGATAAACAGACCGTCATCATCCCACAAGTTAGCAACCAGTATAGCGCATGGCTTGCAGTCAGCACCAATGGCACGTTTGCTTAGTCGGATTACCTGTTTGAATTGTGTTGAGAGGTACAGTTCAGGAAAACCGTTCATGAAAGTTATCATCGTGATATATGTTGCATAAAACCTCAGATTAACACAGCCTTTAGCTGTCCGGTAAATAATCAGTGAATGGATAAAACAGCTTCTGTAATTTTAAGCACCAAATAACGCTTGTCAAGGCAAAATGTCACCTAATTTAACAGAGAATTTTGGACTGTAATTAACATCGTGTCTCTTAGGATTCTACCGATTGTCGTCGGCTGAGCTCATATTCCTCTGTATTGGAGTATCTGATGCGCTCATTAAGAGCATAACGGTATAACACGGAGTAGTTTGTGAAGGAGGATCGATAGTAGCGCGGATCAGTGAGAGCCGTAAGCAAGCTGTACCAACGATCCCGCATTATCTCCGCAAGATAAACAGCTGTTTGTGACCGTGTGTTGTTGACAAGCTGTAGACCAGACCGAAAACCTTCAATAAGGTGTAGGCTTCTTGCTACTAAATTCCGTTGCAAGGTTTAGCATAGTTGCATGGAACTGGAGCAACGGCAAGAGATGCTGTTTTACCGCTGTTGCTCATGATTATTATTATTATTATTGTTAGTAGTAGTAGTAGTAGTAGTAGTAGTATTGATGAATGATGATGCTGACGATGATGATGGTGATGGTGATGATGATGATGAGGAGGAGGATGACGATGTTGATGAGGTTGATGATGAGGATGACGATGATGATGATGATGACGACGACGATGATGATGATGATGATGATGACGACGACGACGACGATGATGATGATGATGATGATGATGATGATGATGATGATGATGATGATGATGATGATGATGATGATGATGATGATGATGATGATGATGATGATGATGATGATGATGATGATGATGATGATGATGATGATGATGATGATGATGATGATGATGATGATGATGATGATGATGATGATGATGATGATGATGATGATGATGATGATGATGATGATGATGATGATGATGATGATGATGATGATGATGATGATGATGATGATGATGATGATGATGATGATGATGATGATGATGATGATGATGATGATGATGATGATGATGATGATGATGATGATGATGATGATGATGATGATGATGATGATGATGATGATGATGATGATGATGATGATGATGATGATGATGATGATTGATGATGATGATGTTGATGAGACTGATGATGACGATTATGATGATGATGGTGACGACGATGATGATGATGAGACGATGACGACGATCATGATGAGGATGAGGATAATGATGATGATTGTACCAACGATACGAAGCCTAAACTAAGTACGTCGCACGAAAACCAAACTAGAAACTACGAACAAATAAACCTAGACTTAACGCACGGCCTGGGCAGAAAGATAAAACGAAGTAGACTGTAACCATGCGTTAAGTCTAGGTTTATTTGTTCGTATTTTCTAGTTTAGTTTTCGTACGACGTGCTTAGTTTAGGCTTCGTATCGTTGGTACATAAGTTGCGTAGGTTTCGCAATCGTAGTGCAAGTGGGCAGGAACTGTGCAGCGTGCGGCGGGCAGTGTCTCAGTAACATAATAATATGAATGACCTTGAAACGGCAAGGATATGTCAGTGATCGAGTGAAAGGAATAAAGCTACGATATGGTAACCGCTTGTAGGACACAGTAAGGCAATGTAAATGAGCAGAATAGTTACGGAATAGAGATACCGTGTCCTCAAGTAAGCAATCCAGGTTGGGAATACATCAAAGTTCCTTTTGGACTTTACAGTGATGATGAGGATGATGATGATGATGATGAAGATGATGACGATGATGATGATGATGATGATGATGATGATGATGATGTTCGTGCCTTGACTCCTCCATCTCGCACACGCGTATTGAAAACGATGGGTCACTCGTCATGTGTAACGACTTTCACCTTAAAATTCGTCGTGATAAGTGAGCTGTTATTCTCATCCTTCATTCTTAAGTTCCTTATGGTTATATTGTTGTGAAAGAGTTGTAAAAGCTACTGATATACTGTTGCGATCCATCTTGTCTACTTCAGTCTTTTCGTTTATCATCCGTCGATGAACTTCGTCGGAAATCAAGGTGATTTGCGGCGGCAGCTACCGTAATTCATAACATGAAAAGTTCCTCCAAACGAGTGAAAGTGGAAATTCGTGAAAGATAGGTTTATGCCATTTTGGAAAGAGTGCCAGAACGAACTACATCTTCGTAGTGTACGCAAGTTTATTAATGCGTCGACAGGGTGGACACAGTCATTTAGAGCATCTCAAGTGAAGAGGACCTGAGTAGTTGGGAAAGAAGCTGAGAGGATCTCGTCATTTCAAATAGCTCTTTACCTTCTCCGTTATTTTTCGGCTTTTGAAGAATGTACGTTTAAGTGCTTGAATCAAAGCAAAGGTTGCAAAAGTTGGCCATTGAAGCAAATTGTGAGTCATATCTCCAAGTGTTTCGATCCATCAACATTCTTAGTGCATGGGATGACATTAGGAGAGACGCGGAGAAGGAGAATTTAGAGCATGTTATTTTGTCACTGAATTGTAGGATGCCCCCTACACGTGAGCTATTAAGTTTCGATGCGATAAATGATTGCACGAATGTCGTAAAAGTTGGCCAATTCACCTCAGTTAGCGCGCCAAGACAAATGTATTGCGAGGACCAGTATTTCCTCATCATCATCATTGAAGACACGGCGCCACCACCATGCACGAGTGACCTTCAAACTAACCGTTGAAGTCCGAGATCTGATACATGTCCTTCAAATAATTTGGCTAGAAGTTATAAGTAGACAGAACTACACGAACAGCGCAGCTGTAGACTTGATAACTAAAATAAGACACTTCGATGAGCAAGAATGACTGGTGAGTGCCAAGTGTTTTCTGCGATAAACATGGAGATTCTCCAATTATGTCCTGCGCAGGCGACTTTTTTATGATCGGATTTTGCACTTACCAAGCTGCGTACACGAACCCTATCACAATGCACCCACCATTTGACAACCAACAGGAACTTTAGTGGCATTCTGATAAATTCGAGTGCTCTTAACATTATATCCACCGTTTTCGTGTCGTGCTAGGTGCACTACGCAAACAGACAAATACCCCGCAAAGGATCGCGAACACGTTTAAATCAACGGAAAGCTAAATGAGATAGCGCAATCCTAGATGTATATTCGTTTACCGTATTTGATTCTCTCAGAGGTGCAGTTGAAATTTTTTTGACTGAGCAAGTGCACAGTCTAACTACCAGCAACAGTTAACTCCCAGGAAGTGAAACTACGCATCGGCACCGGTGTCTCGCACGTTTACGACCGGTTAAGGTGAAACTGAGCGACGTGTTCCCACAGCATGTCAAACCATTAGAAGGCCCCCAGTACCCCCAACATCGGAACTACACCTCTTAGGCCAAATTTGCATCAACATAATGCGTTTTTGGTGTGAGACCTATAGCGGCATTCAAGCCATTTTAGTTGGGGTCAGTTAGACTACGTAACTGGGACATCACTGAGTCAACTTGTAGTCGTAGATAAAGACATCTGTACTGAACAGGCGGGAGCCTGTCTGTCTGGTTAAATTTGAGTGGTGCTGCTGCTCCCAAAACCACTCATTCCCTTTTGCTTTGGAATTTCAGCGGATGAAGATAGGCTATGTGACAAGACAGTACTTCCACATGCCACAAACGGGGGACCATCTAGTCGCCTGCTACTCGAAGTCTCGACAGCTACTGCGGCTGGAAGAGGATTGTTGCTGTGAGGTTAATCTAATTCACCCAGAGGACCCACGAGCCGTTTACTGCCCCCACGGTTTTCGAACAATAGAAGTGGTGTACAACGAGGATGGTGGGAAACCGGAGCTTTTCGAGCGCCGACTCAATCACCTGATCAATCCGAAGCGACCGTCCCTTCGGCTTGTGGCCACAATCGTTCGTCAGATCAATGGTCAGGAATTAACTATGCAACCGGAGGACGCCAAAGAATTATTAAGCTGCTCCGTGAGACCGCGATACAGAGATATACGCGCAATCATCCTCTCGGCTGGAAAGCACGTAAATTGAACTTGGTGCGGGTTAACCCGGATTGCCCTGTATCATCCTAGCTTCCAACGAGCGACGATTGCTTTTCCGTCAATAAGTTGGACACTGGTTTGTTTGTCACACGTGTCGTTTACTGTTCGTTCAATGTAAACGCCCTCCTTCTTGGGTGATGTAGGCCCGGGTCAACTCTTAATTTTTTCATTGCCATGCATATTAATTTTTGTCCGTCTTCTGTTGCTATTATTACTGTGATCACTGTTAGTGACATTCAGTTCGAAAGTACATTATCGGCGCAACGGAGTCCGTCATGATTTGTATGCCACGGAAAAATTTATTACGTCGTGCACTTCAGCAAGCAATAAGTCGAACTCATGCCAATGGGGGTATAGCTCAGTGGTAGAGCATTCGACTGCAGATCGAGAGGTCCCCGGTTCGAACCCGGGTGCCCCCTGATTTTCCCGCGTCCATACGGGCGACGTTGGTGCGTCGCGACTGATTACGACCGGCACAGAAGGGGTGTGCCAAATAGCACCACCGTTGCGAATTATTGGGGTTGTTGCGTGCATAACATCTTAACAAGAAAATTCAGTTACATCGTTCGCAGTTTAATCTTATGATTTGTCCTCAATTGCGCAAATGTCCTACCTATCCTACCGAATAGCGAAAAACGCAATAGTAAATTATCTGGTAGTATCTGTATCTGGTAGTTATCAAGTATTGTTGCTAAAGCAGTGGGTGGCCTGACTGGTGAAGCTAACACATCAGGCTTGATATGTGTGGGGGCTTGTTTGCATCAGACAAGCAACCACGTTGCTTTGCATAACCTTCGACATGGTGTGCTGCAGTGTACCAAATGAAATATAAGCTATCAAATCAACGCTTAAAACTTACCGTTCCCGTTTGATAAGGTGCCATCTGGTTAACATTGGAACATTGGAATGTAGAGAGCAGAAGGAAAAATCCTTTGTCAGCCCCATCGCCTCCCGTTCGTCACAGGGATCAAGGTGGACATTGCAAGTCGGTTCCAATGGAACCGCTGCATTGACACAAGAAGCAACAAGATCCGAGTTTACTCAACAGGTAAGAATCCAATTGATGTTTGAAACATTCCTCCGACTGCGCTTCAACGACACACACAGGCAGATTATTCCATTCGTTCACTACTCTGGTAGACAGAGTGACGTCACAACGGACCCGAAGTCTCCTTTGTTTAAGCAATTTCCAATGGTGACCCCGAGTCGAACTGAAAGAATTGAGTGGAAAGAAATTCTGCAATTCAACTCCAAGTTCACCAACTCCAAGTTCACGATACGCCGTGTGAAAATCAAATCCCCGCGATCTCGACGGTAGGCTAGGGCGAACAAGTTCAGGCACTGGAGACGATGCGAGTAAGGCAGGTTTCGTAACTCCAGAGCGGATTTAGATCCTCTCCGCTGAACTTTTTCAGTCAAGTTGCATTCAAATTCGGAAAGAGGATAAACAGCAAGCAGTCCATACTCAAGCGAATCTAGAAGCAAATGTTTAGCAATTTGCCCTGCTTACCCTAGCTGCAATATTGCCGAAATGCCAGCCATTGGCGAGTACGTCGAATTCAGCATGCCATAATGTATTTTATATTATAAACACATTACTTAAAGTTTATAAGTAGCGTGTTCTTAAAAGTATATCAACCATCAGGTTCACATGTTCTCACAGGGTACGTAATCTGATTGGGGGTCATCTTGAAACACTCGTGTTAATGGGTTGCGAAGCGCAGTCTCAATTTGAGCCGCGATTCTCGTTGCAGTGGCATTGAAGGGTACATAGGCGTCGGATACTATACCTCACTTTTTCCCTATAAACTCCCCATTGTAGTGAGCGGTGCTTGGAAGTCGGTACGAGCCTCATTCGCAATGAGCCAGAATGACCTCACATTGGCAGATCGCTCCACCACCTTTCCAGCAGCCTACATCACACCTGAGGCTTGAGAACCCGATGCTCCCCCAGGTCGTGCTTGGGTACTGTCACCAGATAATCAAGCAAGTGCATTCAGCAACGGACATTGGTTAACTATTGCATACGGAGCTATTGTCGACGGATAATGTACTCGCCCATACAAACCAACGTATTCTGCCTCATCCACAGTTCCTCAGTTAAATGACCGTTTCGTAAGGTCAATGGGCAAACGATACGCTATCATGGAGGACAAATGCTCGGGTTTCTGAATATGCATGAGCCGCAAGATCAGGCAGATAGTCAACGGACAATGAGGCTCACCATGCTGGTGATACTGGTTCCTTGTCAATAAAAGAAAGGCGCAGCATGTGTCAAGAGTAGATTGGTGATATCAACGCTTGTCTCGATCTCGCAAAGCAGGCAGATACGATCGGGCCACAATGGCACTGATTTATCCGATGGAAACGGTGACCGTTTGCCCCTAATACACACTGCCCACAGCCCAACGCTCGTGGCTGATCGATTCCATCATTTGGTTAGTGACATCAAATGTTCTGCGAAACAGATGGATGGTCGCACTCGCCACATTGGCCATACAGTCGTACACCAACGTGGAATCCGTGGGAAAACGACTGCTATGTGGATCATAAGTTGGCGTGTGCCAAAAAGTGTATCCGATTCAGTGAAAGCGCGTTGTTAACCACCGGAAAACCGGTATCCGTAACTTCGTCGGTACTGAGCAACGGTGTGACAGAGAGGACGGTTGTGTCACGCTTAGACACCAACCTTATGACATTAGTTGGAGAAGCGGGTAGTTGTGGACACAGAGTATAACATCAGCTTGCCGAACTCCCTCCTCGTGGTGAATGCTGGGTGGTTCGGATTATCCCGTTCCAGCGAATGGTTCGGCGGCAGTGTTCCAGGATGTGGTGGATTTTCGCCTGGCAAGCGTTCTCCCTATAAAAAGGCCACATATGTCCATTTAAAAACTGTGAAGTGGCGGATGCGACTCGCTACTAATTAGAGTCACTGCCCTTTGCTTCACTCTAAGCGGCTTTGTAATCCAAGTGTGTGTTGGGCCCCTGGTCCTTTGCGATCCTAAAGTCGTATGAACCAATTGTTTGGTCACCGGCTCCCAAGGGGTCGCGATACCCTCCTATCGCCCTGCTGCGTTGTAGGTTAGATCCTGGATCAAAGGCTCGGGGTGGGGTCCCCTAACACAACCCTCTACTTCAGCCTGGGCAACCAGGTAGTATTTCGCCCACTGACGAGCCTTGGATGGATTACATTACTGCTTTTACTCCTGCTGTGTATACTGGCCGTACTGTCTGCACTGCTCAACATCCGCTTACAGATCGCCTCACATCCCGTTCCTTAATTGCATCTGTCTCCCCCGATCACCGTCAACAAAGCTCACTAGTCGCCGCTTCCGGTCAATCTGGTGTTGCGGTTGCACTGAGTGACAGGGCTAAGGCCGCTTTGCTTGACTGGATCCCAATCAACAGTCGGCTAGGTACAGTCAGACGACGAGGTTCATGTAAGTTAACTAAGCGTCGAGATGTTACGCGAGCCTTGTTTGTCATCTCCTCCTACGCTCCTACGGGCTACAAGTCAGGATGCAGTCAAGGTCTGCTTTTACCAACAAATACAAGAGCTTCTGCGTTCCTCAAAAAGTCAGACATTGTCAATCTTGCCGATTTTAACGCACGAGTGGCCACCTGCCACCAAGCAAGCACCAACTTGGGGGTAGTTTTAGCCTCGGTAGCAGTCAATCAGACAATGGAGACAGGCTACTGACTGTTTGTTCTGATTATCACTTGTTTCTTTCGAGTGCAAGGTTTCGTCATTCGAAAAGACAGACTGCTACTTGGCGTCCACCTTCTCAAACGCAAGTATGGTCCAAGATTGACCACACAGTAATAAGCTACAGATGGCGCGGAAGCGTAACAGACTGCCGATCGTACTGGTCAACTTGTATGGACTCCGATCACGCAGTGGTTTGCGCCAAAATTTGCATGCGTTTCGGAGGACCATCCAGACGTACGAACTACCGACCGGACGTCGAAAATCTGCCACCTCTTGCGACGTTAGCCAAGTATCAGGCTTCTCTGTCAACACTACTTGCTTCATCTAATGATGGTCTTAATTCGCAATGGATGCGCATCAAAAACTCTTTGATTTCTGCCAGTACTATATTGTGGATTTGCTTGTCACCAGCCGAAAAGCCGGATCACCACTGCCTCCTTGTCGCTGATAGATAGACGCCGCTCGATCCCAGCCGACACCAGCCGTAGTGAGGAACGCCGATCCGTAGGAGCTTACAGAAGGGTCGTGAGACCTGGTGGTGTGACCCTGCTAGAGATATGGAACTTGCTAATCTGTGGTAATACCAGAAAACTGTTCCACCTCATCCAAGTCACCGAAGGCTTCCGATGTGGAGTAAGCGAAACCCTCTGTGAATAGGATGGTTCCCTAATCACTACTCTTCAGTGATGGTTGGAGCGATGGGCCGAACACTTTCGATCCCAGTTTTCCTAACCGCCAGCCCCATCTGTTTCCACTGGGGCGCGCACTAGTGATGAGTGGACTATCCCCACTGATCCTCCCTCTCACCGGGAAAGCTGGCGGGAACTCTGTTGCCTAAAGTGTTATAAGGCACCCGGTCCTGATGGTCTGCCTTCTGCTCCATTTTTAGATGGGGGCTATTCGCTGGTTCGAGAACTCACCGCTTTGTTCTCGGAAGTCTGGGCAAAAGAGAAGGTTTCACCTTCCTGAAGTGAGTCGATAGTCGTCCCCATCTTCAAAAAGGGCCTGCGCACAAATGGCTTCAATTACAGAGGCATAAGCTTGGTTCCCGTCGTTTCTAAGCTTCTGGTGGCCATCATTCTTCGCTGGCTATCCCCAAGACGTGAATCACTACAGAGAGAAAAACAGGCTTGGTTCTGCCCTGGTTGTAGCTGCGTCGATCAAATTTTTCACCGCCAGATCCTCGAGCTCCGCCATGTGTACCAAAAGTCAACGATTGTAGTGTTCCTGGATATCGTGTTGCCTTCGATTCTGTCAAAAGGGCTGCATTGTAGCACTGT